AAAAAAAAAAAAAAAAAAAAAAAAAAGAGGAAACCCGGGTTCATTAAACTTTTTCTTTAACTAGAAAGATTGATTTGAAAGTGCTTAAGAGTTTTTTTTAAAATAATTTTCTTTGTGGTATAAACGTTTCTTGGTGTTTTAAGTAATCTTGCTTCCAAATTAAGACCAATTGCATTGCTATGAACTAAAAGATCATTTGAGAGATATAGGCTTGCTAATACTGGGCCCTTCTTATACCTCTTCATTATTTACACCACTCCTGTGAAGTCATACTCTCTTTCAAACACTTTAGGCAAATGTAGGCATGATCTGTGCTGGTATTAACCTTATTTTCCTTATTTGCTATCTTTTTTAGTGTCTAATAACGTAACACAATAGCGTGTTCTGGTGACCCTAAGTAATAGCAAGGCCTTTCATACTAACCTTCCTTGCTGGGAATCTGATGCCACTGTCAATTTCCAGTGTATCTTGCAGAGCTTCTGTGGTAATAAATGCTTTCCAGGCAATTTGTATTCATGAGTTGCTTTTCTGATTTGCAAATCTGCTCTCCAGTTGCTGTTTCCTTAGGGGATGCCAAGCTATTAATTTCATGTTATCTGTATTTAAAAGTTAAAAACTAATCTTTTCCAATTCAAACATTGTTGAATTCACCCTTACAGGGAATAGATTATGTGTTGTAGATGCATTGGGCACTGGTGAAGCAACATGGGCCAGAATATTCTTTATTAATTATGGCCTTTGGGGGTCCTGGGATAATTTAACAAAGGTGGAGGCTGGTTGGCTCATTGGATCTCTGATTATTTTATTTTATTTTATTTTTTTAGAGCCAAAGTCTTGCTCTGTAGCCCAGACTGAAGTGCAGTGGTGTGATCATGGCTCACTGCAGCCTCAAATTCCTGGGCTCAAGTGACCCTCCCAGCCTCCCAAAATGCTGGGATTATAGGCATGAACCGCTGTGCCTGACTTGGTGATTTTATTGATCACGTGGCGGGAGGCTGGCAATCTGCTCTAAATTTGGAGAAGGAAATATTCACAAAAGTGTCATTGATGAGCTCCTGGTAATATAATAACTCATCTAATTTATCTCCAGCTATGCAATCACCCGTACATCATGCGGGCAGAACCAAAGGGCCGGAAGGGGAAGCTATCAGGGGCTAATTGCTTGGGACTTATCTTCTTCTCTGACATCTCATTATATTCACTGTCTCCATCAACCTCAAATCAGGTTCAATATGCAGTCAACTTACTATGATTCCCCTAAGTATGAAAATACAATGCAAAAGGATAAACCTTGTTTTGGGTGATTAAAGAAGGGATTCACTAGATTATAAATTTGTTTTTTGTTTTTTTTTTTATGTGAATGTTATTTGGTTCACATTTACAAGTTTGCTTTTTTAGAAGTACAAGTTTCTTAGTCTCGAAGGAAAATAATGTCCATATTTTAAATTATTTTACTTTATGGTACTTTTAATTACTAATGAGGGCATTCCTGTTCTCCTTTGAATGGTGATATCCATTTCCTGTTGTTCAGATTGGTGAGTGGGGGCTACAGGGATTACCAGGAGATGATCTCTCAATTCAGAATGGCATTATTGTGACAAAGGCCACCAGATACCCACTCCTCATAGACCCACAAACTCAAGGCAAAACTTGGATTAAATCAAAGGAAAAAGAAAATGATTTGCAGGTATGTAGCATTTGGTGCAGGGGAAAATAATCTTGAAATCATGAAACTTTTCAAAATTTCAATTGAATCTGCAGTCATAAAGTTGTCATCTCCATGACAAATGTTTGCTAATTCACACTCTTGAGTTTTGTAATAGCAATTTGGGGCAACAGCTCTGATTCTTTTCTCTCTTTTGTACTCTCCTTATACATTTGCCTGACTCCATTGCTTTTGCTAATATTGAATGTGGCTTTTGTTCTGGGCCTTGGGTTTGGTCCTATAGGAGAGTGGCAAATAGAATATTGTGATCCCTCAGTTCAAGACCATTCATGCCAACCTTGCTCAGGCTCTGGGTACTACATAGCTTACTGAGTCCAGCTTTGATGCTTGCATCTAATAAGGTGTTAATTTTAAGGCGGGGGTAGACAAGGGCAGGATTCCAACATTCCTGACACCCTTAGGGATTCTGTTACTATTGATATTTTAATTCAACTACCGATGTGGGATATTCAGTGTTTCCTAGACACTGTTCCCAGAGTTCTAAACCTCCTGCCCCCATATTTTTGCTTATACTATTTCTACTAACCAAAATGTCTTTCTCCACCCTCCACTTACATCCCAGATAAAAATCTCAGCCATTCTTCAAAGTCCACATCCACCACTACCTCCATCACGACTTTTCTGTGTCCCCAGCACAATATTGCCTGTCCTGAATCCTCACAATGTCTTGTTTGCACTTCTGTTGTGGACTTAGAATCTGACTTAAGTTATTGTTCTTTGCACATTTATCTTTTATTTCTGCTGTACCATGAACTCATTGTTGGCCAAGTTTTATTCATCTTTACATGTTCTGCACTGCTCTTTTTGAGTAGAAACTCTGATATTTATTGAATTTAAGTGAATTTATCAAAGTGTGTCATCATTATAGAAAAAAAGAACCAGGAAAATAATGTGGTCATCTTGATGAATATGAAAAAAAAAGCACTTGGTAAAATTCAATGCCCATTCATGATCAAATTTCCAGCAAACTGGGAGGGACCTTCCTTAATTAGGTAAAGAGTTTCTTTTTCCAAAAAGCCATAACAAACATCATATTTAGTGGTGAAATACTGAAAGATTTCCTCCTGAGATCAGTGCTTCTCATGCAAGTGGATACAGCCCAGTGCTGGGAAGCACACCTAAATACCCCACCTCCTCAATACTCCAGAACACAATACATCAGTCTATGTTTACTAAGAAAACCCAGGGAAATCCTAGAATGGTCCAGACAATGTAAATAGAAGAGAAGAGTTAAAAGAAATAGTGTCCATTTCCACAAAGCTTCTTAGGGGCCACATTTTCAAGGGTGCACAAATGTGGTATACTAGAACACTTCTTAGTTTCTGCAGCCAGGTCAACTATAACTTGTGCCTGGCCCCATTCCCCTTGGCTCTGCTGGCTTTCAATCTCCCTGCTCCTCTTATTCTTGGAACCTTGCCTGGACCTCCTTAGCTCAGTACATGCTCCTGTGTCGCTTGGCCATGAATGCTGCTCTTTTTTTCTGATCATAGCTTTATCTCTCCATTTCAGGATTACATTCACTGATAGTCTTCACTAATGTCCTTTCTGATGCAACCCAGTCCCAGGAACCTTCTTGCGGAAGGAACAGAAATATGCCCGAGACACTTTCTTATTTTAAAAATCATCCACTGCTGGGATGGAAATAGACTGAATTGTGTTCTTTTTACTCAGACAACATTATTTTCTTATGTGGATAAGCACATGTACAAACACATGCAAATGAAACACAAAGCATGGTTTATATGCCCAGGGCTGTGGTCAACCTTGGCAGCTTTGTTTGCCAAGCCTACCTTCAATACCATCTCCAGGACCTACAGCTCTGACTTGTGGAAAGAGAGTGTATTTACTAAGCCTCGCTATCAGGAATTCACTGGTCGTCTTGTAAAGACCCAATACCTGTCTCTGTGCAGGTGAACCAGGCTCTGGTGGTAGTTACCACATATATAGTGTTTCACAAGAAAAATCAAATGAAATAAACCTGAAATTAGGATTCCAAAATATTATTTCAAGTTTATAAAAGACATTGAAGGTGATTGAAGATAATTATCTCCTTGCTTGGGAAAGAAATCACAAAAATAGAATTTACCCCTTGAAAAATAAAGCAGGATATAAGCAAATTTAGTCTTACTGGTGCTTTTCTTCACCTTGTTTATTAAGTTCATCAAAGCTCTTTGTTGAGGTTCTTTTACCTTATTAACTTATAGGAAGGTCTTTACAGCACATTATTTGTATAAAGAAAGCTATTCATCCAGGGAAACAACTTCCTTCATGTGCAGAATTTCTTTTTAGTTATTTCCTTTTTAATCAAAACAGGACAAAAGTAGGCTGATTTAAGTTTTATATTTCATATCTTCTTTTTATCATAGTAATTGAGAGATACATATTTAATTCGGTTCTCCTAATTACCTGTTGTCCCAGTGGGTTCTTCCTTGCGTCTTACGGTCTGCACCCACAATAGCATAAGACGTTAGTTGAATTCAGAAGATAGGATACAACGAGTTGAGAAATGAGCCTTTGGGAATCTTCACAGTAAGGCAGGGGGAGGGATCCTAGGCAACATAAGGGTTCAAATCCAATTGGCTCATGCAGAGACCAACCAGTACAGTGTGTCTATTTTAACTAATAACAAACGCATTAAACTAAACACGGAGGACCCAACCAGGAATTCAGAATTGTAGTTTTAAAAAATGTAAGCATATATAAAGTCAATGTATAGTCTTTTAGGTTGACTTAAGGAAAGTGTTAAATTCTTCCCAGTCGGAGACAGAATACATGGATAGACCCGCGATGCGACTCAATGTATCATTTCTGACATTCTTTTTTTTTTTTTTTTTTTTTTTTTTTTTGAGACGGAGTCTTGCTCTGTCACCCAGGCTGGAGTGCAGTGACCGGATCTCAGCTCACTGCAAGCTCCGCTTCCCGGGTTTATGTCATTCTCCTGCCTCAGCCTCCCGCGTATCTGGGACTATAGGTGCCCGCCACCTTGCCTGGCTAGTTTTTTGTATTTTTTAGTAGAGACAGGGTTTCACTGTATTAGCCAGGATGGTCTCGATCTCCTGACCTCGTGATCCGCCTGTTTTGGCCTCCCAAAGTGCTGGGATTACAGGCTTGAGCCACTGCGCCCGGCTCTGACATTCTTATGTTTACTTTTTATCACTTACTCATCTTCTAGGGGTCCTGAGAAAATAAATGAATATCCAGATATGCAAGTTGCGTTGCTTTCTCTGAGGGATTATAGCTGTGTGAGTTTGAAAGGATTAATCCTTGACTATTCTCTTCCATCTGTCAGGAGCAGAACTCTGACATTCCATCTGAGCAATGCCCCTTGATCCTCCTCTTTTGATCAGAGAGACCCCATTACACACCCAGACCCCATTCAACAAAATCATGACTCACCAAGTGTTAGAAATTAATTTTTGTGTGTTACTTTAATTTTTTAAAGTAAGTCTTCCTGTATTGCCCTTAAAATTCTTGGTTACCTGTCCAAAAAATCTCTTGGTTTCCCGTAGCAATGGGCACATTCTTTATAACACTGATAGACCAATGAGTTCTTTCTGTTTAGGTGACATCTCTGAACCATAAATATTTTCGCACACACTTGGAGGACAGCCTTTCCTTGGGCCGACCCCTTCTCATTGAGGACATTCGTGAAGAGCTGGATCCCGCCTTGGATAATGTATTAGAAAAGAATTTTATTAAATCTGGCACCACTTTCAAGGTGAGCTTTGTTAAAAAAAAAAAAAAATTAAGAAAGAGAAAGAAAGAAAAGAACAATGGTGACATCTACTTATCTTTTTGAGCATAGCAGCAAATGCAATTTCCTTTAGGCAGTAGTATTTGGTACATTGGAAATAAACTATTTCCAAACTGACACTTCAGTGTTTCCTTTTATTTTTTATAGCATATAAAAATTGCTGAGGTGGGGGCAATATTTTGATAAGAGTAGTCATTTAGCTGAAACTAAATAACATTAAGGAAACACATTGTCTGGTCTTAATATGTTAGTGCAACACAACATATACATATATGTTTAAGCAACTCTTGATATTGGTTTTGCAAGTCTTATATGTATACATTTTTACAAAATAACCTAGATTTCTTCCCTGGAGGAAATGACATTTTAATAAAGTCTATACACATTGATTTGGTCATTTATCTCTTTATTTTCAGTCTAAGTTCATTGACTTTGTTGGAAGCTATGGAATATTGTTCTCAATTGTTGGTGATGAATTGTTTTCAGTATGTATAAGTGTTTCATTTTTAATTCATGCCATTCTCTACCTTTGGGCTTCTTCGGTTTTATAACAGCATTTCTGATTGGGTGTTTTTCACTTTGGACAATTTAATTTCATGAATATCAGTGAATAAGTAAAAAATGAATATTTTCTCATTAAACAAAGACAGATTTATTCAGAAAAATTTTCTTCATAATGTGAAATCTTTCATATGCCACATTTTATAAAATTCATTCAGCAAAGTTTATGGAGCATCCAATATATACTTAAGCCTTTATGAGTTTATAGGGGAAAAATAAATAAAGCCCAGTTGGTGTTCTGAAGGTTAGCATCATATTCTATGAGATTAGAGGGTAGAATTTCTCTTTTTCATAAAAAGAAGCTAAGAGCAAAATTTTGGTGACTTGCTTGGATATTATGGACTCATCCACAATTTTGAACTGCATTTAAAAAATGTTTAATCCACAAGTAAAGATCATATATATTTAAACTGTACGATGTGGTAATTTGGTATACATATACATTGTACAGTGATTACCACAATCAAATTAATTTAACACATCCATCACCACACATGCTATACCTTAGATACCTGAAACTTGTTCATCTTATAACTGAAAGTTTGTACCCTTTGACCAACATCTCCCCATTTCTCCCATCCCCTACCCCGCTGGCAACCACTGTTCTATTCTCAGCTTCTGTGAGTTTGACTTTTTTAGATTTCACATGTGAGATCATACAGTGTTTATCTGTGTCTGGCTTATCTTATATGGCATATTTAATATGCCAAAGGAGGTTGTAGACTCTCCATTCCTGAAGGTCTTTTAAAAGATCCTAGATTTTTATCTGTAGTGTGAAGGCATAATGCCTTAGAATGTGATGGTGGCCTTAGTGATATTTTCAGTCACATAGAGAAGTAAGAGTAACCAGAGATTTAAGTCATTTAAAAATTCTGATTGCCACCTGATTTTTAGATAGCAAAAACCAATTGTTTTTTCAACATGCTGCAAATAGTAGTGTTTAAGATAAATGTTACCTTTTTGAAAAAAGTTGGCATATTTCCTTTGAAAATTACATTAACTTTTTCTGTTATCAAATATGCTTCAGATATACCTATGAAATTAAAAACATAAAATTTTCTATAAACACAGCAAATTTCCACAGTAGGAAACACTTTTCTTAACCGGGGGAAAAAATAGCAGCTCCTGTACTACAAACAACTGATGGGAGTGGTAAGTACTCGCTAAGGTGTTAAAGTCAAATCTTAGATGTGTCTAAGTTTTCCTTTATTCACCATTTGCTTTGGATAACTTTTTCATTTGATTTGCTTGGATCATTGCTAAAAACATCGCCAGGCAGGAGTACAATTCTAAATTATTCTAAATTGAATAGGGTTTATTATTTAAGATTAGTGATTAAATTTTTTTAACTTTCCTTCCCAATTTATTCAAGTTTCACAGCACTGACAGGTAAATTCTTTTCTAAATTGAACCCAAGTTCCTTTCCCTGTCCTTTAAGCTCTTTTTAATTTTATATGTGAATTTATGCAGGTGAAAGTCGGTGATAAGGAATGTGATATCATGGATACGTTTAAACTTTACATTACTACAAAGTTACCAAACCCTGCCTTTACCCCAGAGATTAACGCTAAAACATCAGTCATTGATTTCACTGTTACAATGAAAGGACTTGAGAATCAGTTACTAAGGAGAGTAATTCTAACAGAGAAACAGGTAATCTCTCTCTCAAGGTAAAGAATTTCTGCTTATAATAAATGCTTAAAATGTATTGAGAAATTGGCCGGGCGCGGTGGCTCAAGCCTGTAATCCCAGCACTTTGGGAGGCCGAGACGGGCAGATCACGAGGTCAGGCGATCGAGACCATCCTGGCTAACACAGTGAAACCCCGTCTCTACTAAAATACAAAAAAAAAATTAGCCGGGCGAGGTGGCGGGCGCCTGTAGTCCCAGCTACTCGGGAGGCTGAGGCAGGAGAATGGCGTGAACCCGGGAGGCGGGGCTTGCAGTGAGCTGAGATCCAGCCACTGCACTCCAGCCTGGGCAACAGAGCCAGACTCCGTCTCAAAAAAAAAAAAAAAAAATTAAAAAAAAAGAAAAAAAATTTAAAAACCATATTTATCCTTGTTAACATAAATATTTCTTTTGCAGCCTTAATTCCTGTCAAGAAATCATGTAACTCATCTTCTCATCCAGCTTCAAACACACACACACACACACACACACACACACCCCCACCCCTCTTTCTACTTCTTCTTGAAACTTCTAGGTGTACTAACTATCTATAGTCCTTGTCTTGGGGACACCTGAAAACATCAATAAAACAATGATTGAGAGAAAAAGAAATTGCTCTGAATGGCTCTTATTTCCACTGTAGTAGTTTCAACTACTGCAGTCCAATAATCTAATGATATAGGGAGCCATACCTTTATTTTTAATTAAATGAAATTTGCACTAAAGCAGGGAAATTAAGTCTAACTGAGGGTTCTAATAAAACGAAGAACAACTTAGGACTGGAAGATTTTAAGAGACTGATACAAGATTAAACTAATTTTTAAGTTGACCCTCAGAAAGCATTAAGTTTTATGCATAAAATATAATTGCATAAAAATATAATGTTATATATCTACATTATAAAGTACATTTGCATAAAATATGAGAAAGTAATTAATTTTAGAATGAAGGATTCAAGCAAGGCAAGGTTAGAAATAATAAGAGCAGTGAGGCATGAAGTGGATGGGAGAGAAACAGAAGGACAAGGGAGGAAAACAGGCAGAGGAGGGAAAAGAGGAGATGGGAATCCAGGGTCCCAGACGCAGGAAAGACATCCAAGAAGGGAGAGAGAAATGACACAGACACCAAAGAAATAGACTCAGTGAAAGGCAGCATCCTGCCTGGCTCGTGTACAGCTCACCAAGGGACAGGCCCTTGAAAGGTGGTTGGTCTGGTGGAGTGAAAAGGGCACAGTCCTAGCTTTGACTCTCTTTAGTTGTTTGGTCTTAGTTTCCAATAAACCTGGGGCTTATGCAGTTCAGGAAGGGAACTTGTTCCTCTTCCACAGCCAGGCAGAGATGGCCCTGGCCCGGCAATTCACTGTTGCCATCGCCTCTCAGGATCCCATGCTGTTAACTGTTGACGATTAGTCCCTTGTGGTCTAATTGGTGCTGTGGGTTTATTTTGAGATGATTCCTCGCTGGTCTAGATCCCCCCTGCAGGCTGCACTAACCTCCAGAAGTCAAGCAACTCCACTGCCCAAAGGTCCTCAGGGCTCCCCACACCCGCTTTTCTCATTCCCTAGCTTCCTCTTCAAAAGAAATGCTAAGGTGCTCATAGCAACCTTGCTGGAGAAAAAAAGTGCACATTTAATATGCAGGAGGGTATTCTAAACATTATATTTAACCCTCCTAACAATCCTCCTATTACACCCACATTTTTACAGATGAGCAAATGGAGACCAAAGAAAATAAGGGTCTTCATCTATAACAGCACAGGGACTTTGCAGCCTGCCAAGCCTCCTAGATAAGTTTTACAGGTCCTGCTACGAAGTTTAGCAAGAGTCCGCTGTGCTATGATATCTGATATCCAGAAAAGGAAGCTAATATGATTTCATTTTGTCCATGTATTCCTATACTGCCACCCAGGGGTGACCATTTTAATGAAAATGACTAACTGGTTATTTCCCTGCAAATAGAGCAATGCTCTTCATCGCTCCGTCAAATCCTGCCACCCTGTAAGTACAATGCCAATAACACTAGTCTTGGAGTTGGAGGACAAGGGTATTAGGCTGTTATAACATGCAGCTGGTTACTGGCAGAGACTGGCCTAATACCCTTGTTATTCAGAGTTCATATTTCTGGGTCCTCGGCTTTTCCAAATGTAAAATAAAGAAATTGGACTAAATTCAGCACATTTCAATTTGGCAAATATTTATTGGGTTGAGTTCCTTCTCTACAAAGCCTCAAGTTAAGTACTGTCAATAATACAAAGATGAATAGGAAAGTTTACGTATCTGTCTTCTAGATGCATAAACTGTAGTTGGAGGGAAATAATCTACTGATAGATTGTGATACAAACTATATTAGAGGCCAAGCATGGTGGCTCACCTCTGTATTCCTAGCACTTTGGGAGGCTGAGGCAGGTGGATTACCTGAGGTCAAGAGTTTGAGACCAGCCTGGCCAACATGGTGAAACCCCGTCTCTACTAAAAATACAAAAATTAGCTGGGCGTGGTGGTGCGCGCCTGTAGTCCCAGCTACTCAGGAGGCTGAGGCAGGAGAATCGCTTGAATCCGGGAGGCGGAGGTTGCAGTGAGCTGAGATGACACCACTGCATTTTAGCGTGGGCGTCAGAGGGAGACCATCTCAAACAAACAAATAAAGAAACAAAACACACACACACAAAACCCCAAAAAAACAAAACAAACTATATTAGATGTGCAGATAAAGACTGTGCCATGACTTTTGATTGACTGGTTCAGGAAGACTTTCTGAAAATGATGAAATTTCTGAAGCAATTTTCCCAGAAACCTTCCCAAATAAGAAGTTTTAAAACGCCTTCTTTTAACATAATTCTACATGCAACATGTGATTCTGTATAAAGTCAGAAAAAAATGTTATGAGGAATATTATTGAGGTGATTTCAGTGTAGACTCTACGTTTAGTGAGAGTATCAGTGATACTGACACATCGCTCTCAGTGTTAAATTTCCTGAATTTGAATATTGGACTATGCTTATGTAAGAGTGACCTGGTTCTCCAGAGATTTGCTAAAGTGTTTAGGGGTAAAGGGACATGACATCCAAGAGTGATTCAGCAGTAATAGTAATAATGATAACAATAATGACAATATTATGTTTTCTATAGAGATAGAGCGATAAAGCAAAATGTGATTTGGTGAATCTAGGTGAAGGCTGTATGAAAGTTCCTTGTATTAGGCTTGCAACTTTTTTGAATGCTTGAAATTTTTTCAAAATATAATTTTAAAAATATATCATTTTATGTAAGAAAAAAATACCCTGTAAACATTCAAGTTTGCCCTCTGTAGAAGGAGATACAAGTAAAATGGAAAATGGGTTTGTATTGGCAACTGGCTGTGCCAAACCAGGTACCTGGTGCTCCCATAGGAACCAGGCCAAGAGCTCATATTTAATCTGGGTAGCCCCTTGGTTTCTTCGTGTTAGTGCCTTTTTGTTTCTACTTGTTCTGACTGCGAATACAGACAGCATTTCTTACAGAAGCAGTGTGGGAACAGGGCCAAGAGAACGGGACATGCTATTTTTAAACTTCAAGCTGGCAAGAGAGCTTGGGGGGTAATTGGGTAAAATTATTTAGCAGAATTGTCTGGTGCCTGCCAGTATAAGTGCTGTGGAACTTTAATGATAGTGGGCATAATTTAAAAAAAAATTTCCACAGAAACAAAAATATGGATAGATAGATTTGACTAATGATAGTAATTTCTTCTGCCATTCAAAAGGTACTTTGGTTTAAACTTTAAACATGGTTAATAAATACTAGTGAGTTGCATTTGCTATAATAACTGGTAATTATAGTTCCAATGTTATTTTTTGTTTTTTAATGACAGGAGTTAGAGTCTGAGAGGGTTAAACTTTTGGAGGATGTTACTTTTAATAAGCGGAAGATGAAAGAACTTGAAGATAACCTCCTCTATAAATTAAGTGCTACAAAAGGTATTGTGTTATTAAGAAGTAATGAAATAACAGATTCTGAATAAGGATTTCATTTACACTGTTTTCAATGCCCTCATGACTATAGATGTTAGGAAATAGTCATGTTATCAATGCAAAAACAAGCAAGGCAATTTCCATCTAGACATTAAAGAGGGACGGCAGAGAATCTGATTTTTAAATTAGCAAATAGAGACCGAGCATCTGAGAATAACACAATTTTCTTTATATAATTGCTTTCTCCTGAGAAAAATAAGGGCTCCTGATAGAGCTAGGTAACTTATTATAGGTTAATTTGCTTGCCCCAAAGAAACTAATGTGCTCAATCTATTTTTTTTTCTTTTGAGACAGAGTCTGGCTCTGTCTCCCAAGCCGGGTGCAGTGGCTCATGCCTGTAATCCCAGCACTTTGGGGGACCAAGGCAGGTGGATCACCTGAGGTCAGGAGTTTGAGACCAGCCTGGCCAACATGGTGAAACCCCGTCTCTACTAAAAATACAAAAATTAGCTGGGCGTGGTGGTGCGCGCCTGTAGTCCCAGCTACTCAGGAGGCTGAGGCAGGAGAATCGCTTGAATCCGGGAGGCGGAGGTTGCAGTGAGCTGAGATGACACCACTGCATTTTAGCGTGGGCGTCAGAGGGAGACCATCTCAAACAAACAAATAAAGAAACAAAACACACACACACAAAACCCCAAAAAAACAAAACAAACTATATTAGATGTGCAGATAAAGACTGTGCCATGACTTTTGATTGACTGGTTCAGGAAGACTTTCTGAAAATGATGAAATTTCTGAAGCAATTTTCCCAGAAACCTTCCCAAATAAGAAGTTTTAAAACGCCTTCTTTTAACATAATTCTACATGCAACATGTGATTCTGTATAAAGTCAGAAAAAAATGTTATGAGGAATATTATTGAGGTGATTTCAGTGTAGACTCTACGTTTAGTGAGAGTATCAGTGATACTGACACATCGCTCTCAGTGTTAAATTTCCTGAATTTGAATATTGGACTATGCTTATGTAAGAGTGACCTGGTTCTCCAGAGATTTGCTAAAGTGTTTAGGGGTAAAGGGACATGACATCCAAGAGTGATTCAGCAGTAATAGTAATAATGATAACAATAATGACAATATTATGTTTTCTATAGAGATAGAGCGATAAAGCAAAATGTGATTTGGTGAATCTAGGTGAAGGCTGTATGAAAGTTCCTTGTATTAGGCTTGCAACTTTTTTGAATGCTTGAAATTTTTTCAAAATATAATTTTAAAAATATATCATTTTATGTAAGAAAAAAATACCCTGTAAACATTCAAGTTTGCCCTCTGTAGAAGGAGATACAAGTAAAATGGAAAATGGGTTTGTATTGGCAACTGGCTGTGCCAAACCAGGTACCTGGTGCTCCCATAGGAACCAGGCCAAGAGCTCATATTTAATCTGGGTAGCCCCTTGGTTTCTTCGTGTTAGTGCCTTTTTGTTTCTACTTGTTCTGACTGCGAATACAGACAGCATTTCTTACAGAAGCAGTGTGGGAACAGGGCCAAGAGAACGGGACATGCTATTTTTAAACTTCAAGCTGGCAAGAGAGCTTGGGGGGTAATTGGGTAAAATTATTTAGCAGAATTGTCTGGTGCCTGCCAGTATAAGTGCTGTGGAACTTTAATGATAGTGGGCATAATTTAAAAAAAAATTTCCACAGAAACAAAAATATGGATAGATAGATTTGACTAATGATAGTAATTTCTTCTGCCATTCAAAAGGTACTTTGGTTTAAACTTTAAACATGGTTAATAAATACTAGTGAGTTGCATTTGCTATAATAACTGGTAATTATAGTTCCAATGTTATTTTTTGTTTTTTAATGACAGGAGTTAGAGTCTGAGAGGGTTAAACTTTTGGAGGATGTTACTTTTAATAAGCGGAAGATGAAAGAACTTGAAGATAACCTCCTCTATAAATTAAGTGCTACAAAAGGTATTGTGTTATTAAGAAGTAATGAAATAACAGATTCTGAATAAGGATTTCATTTACACTGTTTTCAATGCCCTCATGACTATAGATGTTAGGAAATAGTCATGTTATCAATGCAAAAACAAGCAAGGCAATTTCCATCTAGACATTAAAGAGGGACGGCAGAGAATCTGATTTTTAAATTAGCAAATAGAGACCGAGCATCTGAGAATAACACAATTTTCTTTATATAATTGCTTTCTCCTGAGAAAAATAAGGGCTCCTGATAGAGCTAGGTAACTTATTATAGGTTAATTTGCTTGCCCCAAAGAAACTAATGTGCTCAATCTATTTTTTTTTCTTTTGAGACAGAGTCTGGCTCTGTCTCCCAAGCCGGGTGCAGTGGCTCATGCCTGTAATCCCAGCACTTTGGGGGACCAAGGCAGGTGGATCACCTGAGGTCAGGAGTTTGAGACCAGCCTGGCCAACATGGTGAAACTCACTCCATTTGTTTTTTAGTTTGATTATTTCATTTGGCATTGAAATGCAGTTACTGCAATGAGTTATGACACATGTAATCTGCGTCAGAGGAACTTGAGTACCAAATGCCCAGCTTACCCTCTACTTGGCTTGATCTCCCACTTTAGATGGGAAAGATAGTTTCTCCTCTGGGTAGCCAAATCATCATGTCACACCTCAATTGGAGGATGAAATCTCTCTGCAATATATAAAAAGAAAATTTTATCCAATAAAATCAACAAACATTATATTGTTCTGTAGCAGGCAAATCACAGCAACCTGAATTCTACTACCTTATTAGAAGTGAATGAATACTTCCCAACTGCACCTTAATTCCGGGATGTTATTTAAACAAGTCCGACCCTCCAGAAATACTGTACCTTTATGGTGAGCTCGGTGAAAAGTCCTTTTATCTGCCTACTTGTACTGCTCCTGCTAGTGAAGCTGTGTGTCTTTTGGTCCAGTGACTCCTCCCAGCCATTTGGGATACCCCTGGGCATTAAAAATATAGCAAGCAGAACTGGGGGCTGCTCCCCTAGTCTAGCCAAGAATGTGCTGGATCAAGACCTCTTTCCTTGGGGTTAATCCCAAGTTGGACTTCCACATTAGACAGCATGCCCGTCAGAGTAACACAGCCCTTCCTGCAGCACTCGCCTGCCATCCAGACCTCTAGGGTAGGCCAGAGTGCTGCCGTTTGCAGATATGGGGATTGTTAGCTCAGTACATCCAAGGTGTCTTTCCTTAGATTTTAATTTTAAAACCAAATTCATTGTCATAAGCATCTACTATTTCTATTAAAAACAATAATTTAAAAAAGGATGAGTTCATATCCTTTGTAGGGACATGGATGAAGCTGGAAACCATCATTCTCAGCAAAGTAACATAAGAATAGAAAACCAAGCACTGCATGTTCTCATAAGTGGGAGTTGAACAATCAGAACACATGGACACAGGGAGGGGAACATCACACACGGGGGCTTGTCGGAGGTAGGGGCTGGGGGGAGGGATAGCATTAGGAGAAATACCTAATGTAGATGACGCGTTGATGGGTACAGCAAATTAACATGGCCCATGTATACCTATGTATCCAACCTGCACGTTCTGCACATGTACCCCAGAACTTAAAGTATAATAATAATAAAAAAACAATAATGAAAGGCAAAACTAAAAATAAAATTCGAGTTTCTCTTCCTCGTGAGACATTTTCACTATACCCCAATTTACTCTTGTTAGAGACAGAGGGATTAGTTTTCTATAGCAACGACTGTTCTACTAAAGCAGCGTGAGGAAAGAGTGTACCATTCAACTACCAGCACGACAGCCCATGTGTGAAGTGTTCAGGTTAGCTCACACCCTGAGACAAGTGGGGTGGACAAGCTGTGACACTTGAGGAGAGCCACCAAGATGACAATGGGGGTGAAGCCTATCACATGGGGAACAGCAAAGACCACTGGAGACATGATCATTGTCTTGAGATGTGTGAAGACCCAATCAAATGGGTCTTTTGCTTTTTGCAGATGTTTAGGCAGAGTGGGGGATAGTCTGTCAGTGGGAATGTTTAGAAGGCTTCAGGCATTGGATGGTAGTTGGTCTAGAAGCTTTTTGGTGTCTTAAGATTCTACTGTACCAGTGGTCTTCCTGACTTTGGAGACATCAAGTTGAAAGCTAACAGTATTTTTTTTTTTTTCAGAAGAGATGTATCTTGCCTTGCAACTTTCCCATCTGTGTACTACAGTTTTCCTGTTTTGAATTTTAGGCTCACTGGTAGATGACGAATCTCTCATTGGTGTACTTCGAACTACCAAGCAGACAGCAGCTGAGGTAAGTGAAAAGTTGCATGTGGCTGCAGAAACTGAGATCAAGATCAACGCGGCTCAGGAGGAGTTCCGGCCCGCAGCCACCCGCGGAAGCATCCTCTACTTCCTCATCACAGAGATGAGCATGGTCAACATCATGTATCAGACGTCACTGGCCCAGTTCTTGAAGTTATTTGACCAGTCCATGGCCAGGTGAGTCCTCACTACCTTCATCCACAAGTGGTAACTTCAAAGCTGGCTTGTATTTCTACTGTTTTAGAAATTGCTTTTTCACTATTCACAATAGCAAAGACACGGAATCAACCTAAATGCCCATCAACAGTAAAGTGGATAAAGAAAAGATGGTACATACACAACATGGGATACTAAGTAGCCATAAAAAAGAATGAACTCATGTCCTTTGCGGAAACATAGATGGAGCTGAAGGCCATTATCCCTAGCAAACTACCACAGGAAGGGAAAACAAAATACTACATGCTGTCACTTATAAGTGGGAGCTAAATGATGATACCTCATGGGCACATAGAGGGGAACAACGGACACTGCGGCCTATTAGGGGATGGAGGGTGGGAGGAGGGAGAAGATCAAGAAAAATAACTAATGGGTACTAGGCTTAATACTTGGGTGATGAAGTAATCTGTGCAACAAACCCCCATGAATTAGGTTTACCTATGTAACAAACCTTCATGTGTAACCCTGAGTTTAAAAGTATTTTTAAAAAGCAAATTGCCCTTTGCTTCTTTGATTCTTAAATGTATTTCAGATCTGAAAAGTCACCACTACCTCAAAAGAGAATTACAAATATTATTGAGTTCCTGACATATGAAGTTTTTATATACTCTGTCAGAGGTCTATACGAAAACCACAAATTCCTGTTTGTACTTCTCATGACCTTAAAAATTGACCTTCAGAGAGGGACAGTTAAGCACAGAGAGTTTCAAGCTCTCATTAAAGGTAAAGTGTGTGGGATACAGATGTGGTGTGTGGAGGATGTTGCTTTTGATATGCTCTTTGATATACCATAAACCCATTTCTGTGATCCAGTAGGGAAATGATGTTCTAATGAAAGTGTAATGAAGTTTTATTTTTTAATATCTCTTTTCTGTTTTTCATTCGTCTTGCCCTGGTTACTTAAGATTCAGGTCTGTGCCAACTCAACTGAATATTGATATTTTTGTAGTTATTGATATAACTACATTCAGTTTATTCACTGCTGACCATGCCTGGGAGAATCGATTGCTCAAGTGAGGGAAAGTGATACTGGTGATGGCTTTCTTTAGCAAGACAGCCATTCCCTCAGCAAGGGGGTATGATGGTTTTTCAGACTGCAAGAAAAGGCTCACTTGTGTTTCATATTTGAAGTTAATCCTATTCATTGCATATCTCCATGTTAAAGGTCTAATTAAGAAGACAAAAGAATGGAATTTTCATTTCAATTTAGTTACACAAGTATTTACTGAGCTCATGCTATGTAAACCCACCACGCTAGCTTTGGGGATGTAAGAATAAACCAGATACTGCTTGAAAAGAAATAATAGCCTCAAAATGGAGATAAAGATAATTTAAAAATCACTCCAAAGTAAGGCAGAATCACCTAAGTGCTGTAAGAGAGCTAAGAAACAAAGTGTTGAGTCTAAAAGGAGGGAGCGATTACATGTGGTTGGTGAAATCAAAAACAGTTTCTTAGAAAATATACCTTTGTGGGTTAAGTCATGAGTTGGGGAACTATTCGGTACGTGGCAAAATGCTTCCATCTTTTTCTTGTGTGTTTGGCTCTTTATATATGATTTAACCAATTATTTTCTGGCTCCCCACACCCCAAAAAGAAAGTGGCATTTGAGGTGGACCCTGAAGAGGTAGAAAAGAGGAAAACATTCCATGCTGAAATGGAGCAGCATGAAAAAGGGAATGAGTGGAGAACATCTAAGTTGTAAGAATCAGTCTGGTTTTGTTGAAATGAAAGGTGGATATGGAGGCATACTGAGAAATAGAGCTGGACATATAAACTGGTGACATACTACAGAGAGCCTGGGTTCCCATAGGAAGCATTTTCTCGATCTGGTAAGAAACAGGGAGTTGTGTAAGGTGGTGATGTGATCATTATGGTCATTTAGGGAGGTGAACTTGGCACATGTGTAAGGATCAAAGAAAAGAGGTTCAAAGGAGTCTCTCAATCTTCCCAACTGCAGGAATACATTCCCAACCGAGGGTAAAGGCAATGGGAATATATAGGGAGACAAGGGTATGAGAGATTAGGGAGGTAAAATGGCAAAAACCGATAAATAGAAGAGCCAAGAGAGCAGGCAGAAATGAGTCTACGATTTCCAGTCCATGCAGAGATTTCTGGTCTGGTTGGTTGGAAGAGGAGCTAGTTTGAGGAGGGTTGGTGTGGGGGATTTCTGGATGTGATTTTAGGGCCTATGTAGTCAGAATAGGACAGATTTTGCTGCCATAAAAACAATTCCAAAATTTCAGTGACTTAACACAACCAAGGTGTACTACATTCATGTTACCTACATTCATGAACTACATTCATGTTACCTCTCCAACATGCTGTTCTAGTCACTCAGAAATCCACATTGCTTCCAAAACTACTGCGGCAGAAGGGCAAGGATGTGGCAGACTGTGCACTGGCTCTTAAAAGTCACCCCACAAGTGACACATGTCACTTACGCTCCTATTTCGTTAACCAAAGCCAGATATGCAGCCACATCTCACTTCAAAAAGAGCAGAGTGCAATTCCTCGTGTGTTTGAAAGGCGGGGAAACAGTTTGTGACCAGCTCTGATGACTACAGACATGTGAAATTTGAGCTATCCAGAAAAAAATTAGAAAAGATAACCTAGGCTGGGTGCGGTGGCTCACGCCTGTAATCCCAGCACTTTGGGAGGCCGAGGCAGGCAGATCACAAGGTCAGGAGATCGAGACCATCCTGGTTAACAAGGTGAAACCCCATCTCTACTAAAAATACAAAAATCAGCTGGGCATGGTGGCAGGCACTTGTAATCCCAGTTACTCAGGAGGCTGAGACATGAGAATAGTTTGATTAGTGCCTTTACGAAAGAGGCCCGAGGGAGCTCACTCCCCCTCCCACCATGTCAGGACACCATGAAAGGAGCCATCTATGCACCAGGAAATGGGCCCTCACCAGACACTGAATTCTCCAGGGTCTTGATCTTGGACTCTCCAGCCTCCAGAGCTGTGAGAAATAAACATTTCTGTTGTTTCTAAGCCACCCAGCCTATGATATTTTGGGATAGTGGCTGAATGGACAAAGATACTGTGCAGTACGAGGGGAGGAGAAGCATACTTTTGAATCTTTCCTTACCAGTGAGCTGGCTTTGCTTCCTGAATGCCATCTGCTAATGTGACCCCTGAGAAGGAGGCACATATGACATAGAAAGGAAAAAGTGAGAAACCTGGTGCCTGGGTCCACAATGGATGCTGGGAAGGAAAAAGGAGGTTAGAGGTAGAAAGAGGAGGTCAGGTGCAAAGATCCTCATCTCTTCCTTGCCTCCTGAGGGAGGTGAGAAGGGGAGAGGGCCAGAGAAACTCTCAGATAGGAGATGACCCAGCATTCTGCCCAGTGTCACACCCACCATGGAAGCAGGGGAGTAGCTGGATGGGCAAGCCTGAGGTTTGGCAAGTAGGAATGTGGCGACATTCAGGGGTTGAGAGGGCTGGCACGCAGCTGAGACTGGAGGTCAAACAAAAAAGTTTTAGAGAAAGAAAACTTTGTACCTGCAGACAAAGTACCAATGCCAGGAGCTGGGGCAGTGATTGCAGCCCAGGGCCCCGACAGATAGCATTTGTCGTAGCTCAGAGGATACAGTACAGGGACCCAGCCTGCACCTGAGGCATGGAAATCCTGGAGGGCAGCCTGCAGACCTGAGGCATGCTTCCCACCACGACATAATCCCACCCCGTCTCACCTCTCCCACCTACCAACCAACCAGACCAGAGCTACCTTGAAAGAGACTGGGTTATTTGAAAGAGGGTGGGTAAATCAGAGGAGACTGAGAAATGCGGCAACACAGTGGGGAGGGAATCCGTCAGGGAGGATTAGATTTGTTACAGAAAAATAAAGAAGGCTGAACACATGGGTTGTGGTGTTAGCACATTTGTGACCCCATTTCATAAAATTGGAGTCAGGGAGAACTATATTGTATAGGGCCAGGAGAGTCAGGGAGAGGAGTTTGGATTTAATTTAGTTGGCAATAGGGAGCCATCGAATGTTTTATGAGCAGGGATGTGGCATGAACAGAACAGTGCTTTAAGAAGATTAATTTGGGATTGTATGATAGGTTGATTGACAGCAGTACAATTAGCTCAGCAATAAAAGAGTTTTTAAACAAAACGTAAAATTTGTTTTAGTTTTGAACTGGCTTATATTTTGACTGAATTATTCCTTAAAAGATGGTATGACTTTGTTTTTAATGTTTTTTTACAAAGTTAACAAACATGATCCTTAGATCATAGATACTTTAAAAAAATCATTTTGAACTCAATACTTAAGGGGGAGAGTGGAGGAGTTATTTATCGTAGCAGAAATGTTTGATTTCCCAAGAGTGACAGGTTTTTCAGTTTGTTTGTTTCAATTACTACTTTCTTTCTGCAATATTTGTAAGGTGACTTTGACTTTCTTCTTCAACCAAAAATGTCAGAACACTTTGAAAAATGAAATGGATACCAGGCGCAATCCTGCATTATAGAGCAATGGAGTTACCTTTCTTCCCTGCCTGGTTATTTTAGAAAGATATTATCTTTCTTTTGTCATAGACTGTGTACAAAAAGACACCTTAGGGGGTCATTTCTTGCCCTCCAAACTGGACTGGACCTGGGCCTTCCAAGCGGGGAAAGAAAAAGAGAGAAAGAGAGAGAGAGAGAAAGAGAGAGAGAGAGAGAATGTCAGAACAACAGCTAATGATTACATAGCTCTTATTATTATTCTATACTGTTCTAGGTACATTACTGTATTTAACCTTCGCAGCAGCCAATCTGGTAGATTCTATCAGACATCCATGTGGCAGATGAGGAAACTGAGAGGGATTCATGTTTTTTTTTTTTTTTGTTCAAGTTTGTGCAGCTCTTACGTGGCAGAGCCAGGATATTTTGGGGAATAGGAAGGGCCGTCATTGTTCTAATATGTTTGGAAACACAAAGATAGCTTAGATTTCTTCTCCTGGTGTCTCTAAAGCTCAGGATTACATAAAAACATTTCTTTGGAAACAACCAAGAAGAAAAGGGGTGAGTTTGTCTCTGTGCCAGGGCTGCAGGTGGCTCTCTCTAGTGTCTGCTTCTCGCACCAGTGACTCCTACAGTAGCAGTAATGGTGCTCTAGTGAGACCAGCTCTGTCTCCAGGTTGCAGAGGGGCCGACGGTGAGAAGAAGGTTTACACGTTGTTCTAAAAGTATTGTTGCACTCAGAGCCACAGATTCCCAAGTCCCCTGTGGTGGAGGAAATGGATTTACATGAAAAAAGTACTTTAGTTCATACAGCTACTCAGGACGATGCTAGATGGGGAGAGCAAAGACCTGTAGTTCCCCCACCCCCCTTTTTTGGTCCATGAGTTGATTTGTGAACTGGAAGGAATGATGAGTTCTTAAGGAAGACGATAAGATTTAAAAGTTCAAGAATCACTGTTTTGCATACATCTGAATTAAACAACAGTGGAACTGGAATTATTATGATATGTTACCAAAGACATGCAATAGAGAAATTTTGAAATTGTAACTATCATCATATATTTCATTGGAAAATGCTGGGTATGCCCGTTTGACCTGAGATTTGCTTCAGAATATGATTAATGCTATAACTCATTCTCCACTGGACTCAAGCTCTGTGAAAGCCAGGGTCTGGTGGGCTTTTCTCTGCTATATCCCCCAGTGTCTGGAACATACCAAATACCTAGAGGGTGCTCAATAAATATTTGTTCCATCAGTGAATGGATAAATGATTTAAATATTAGTCATCCACTAAAAAACCCATAGATCTATTATTTCATTTCCTCCTTCACTTCCTTCCCTCTTTTTATCCCTAGCCTCCCTTTCTCCCACCCT